CGCTGCAACATACATATGTGTTTGAGTGTGTGTGTGTGTCTATCAGTATCGGGTGGTATAATTTTGTTTTACTTTTGATCTCTTATTGTTGTTGCTGTTCATTTTGTTTGTGTCTTTTCATTTGTGCTCTGGTTTTGTTGGATTTGTAAATTAATGGTGGTGGTGGTGCTGGCGGTACTCGTGGTGGTTGTTTGTTTTGGGGGTATATATTGGCGCTGTTTGGCACTTGTCAGCACAGTTCGTTAACAGTCCTAGTCGCGATTCTAGGAGGTTAAGCCCACTGAGCGTGTGTTTAGTTTCAAAAAATAACAAAAACCTATCTAAGGAAACAAAATTTAATCTTAACTAATTAAACCAACGAAAACAAGGACATTGTGTGCCGTTACTTTAACCGAAAAATTGTGATTCTAATTCTTTAAGAACTCTTTAAGTGTGATTTCGTTTTAAATAATTCTAAAAGAAACCCTAGTAAACATGAAATTATTTGTAAGTAATAAAAAAAAGGATAATACAAGATATCATAATGAATGAACGAAAAAAATATAAAACAACGAACTTAAAAATAAAAAATATAGAAAATTAAAAATTAAATGCTTGTGAAATAATATAAGTGTGGTGTAACGTTAGAAGGATGAATATTTTTGGTTCCTTAATAAAATTACATTTTTTCATTGAAAACTATTTGAATGATTTCTCTTCAAGGATATTATATAACCGAAATTAAATTTAAGCCACAAAATTGTATCAATATTTAACATTTCTCAAAAAAAAAAAAAAAAAAACACACACCAACGCAGAACTTATATAGAAAACTGAAAATCGATTTCAAAAATTCAGCATGAAAATTGGCAAATTATTTTAATGTTAAATGTTCGGGAACAAATTCGAAAACATTTTCCAAAAATAATTGAATTTTTCACAGAAATATTAAACATAGAATCCTATTTTTCGTAATAGTAAATTTTCTAGAAAATATTTCAAATAAAGTGCTGGAATATAATCATTATGTAATTTTTCAAAGCTCAATGTTGTAATATAAATAACGATTATTGCTTCGATATATTTTCAAGAATAACATACTTAAAATCCTAGATGCGAGGAGATTTTTTTGAAGAAAAAAATATTCAGAAAATTATAGCTATTAAATGCATACATTTTCTGATAGTCATTCAAAAATATTCATGGAAATTCCATCTTTTAACTTCTAAAAATTATTAAAATCGATTCATCAATCATTAAAAGATCTTAAAAAAGTTACGCTCTAAGAATGTTAATGAAATTCACAGGCTGGTAGTCAAAGTAAAAAATGTTTTAAAAATTCATTCTCTAATAATCTTAAAAATCCAAGATCTAATATTCTTCAAAACCTTTCTAAAAAATACCAAAGTAGTGTTGGCGGTTTATTTGGGATACCATTTGTATTTTGTTTTTGCAAAATAGTCAGGCTGAATCCCAGTTTGTTGTTTTTATAAAAAAACAACTATTTATTAGTGGGGAATGTATGGCATTGTTTGCCGAGGGGTAAGGCAGGGAAGACTATAGTTTCGGATCACGCCACTGATCCTCATCAGTTCCCTTAGTTTTTTGTTGGGATATTCTCCCCAGAAGCTATTGCTTCTATACAAAAAACCTTTCATACCCAAATGTCTCTTGTAACAAAGCGAAGTACTTAACTGCATGAGAATTTCGCTGGAGCCTCACTTCGAGGTTAACAAGGCATTTACAAACAATACCACACCTCACCACACCACAAAAAAAAAAAACAAAAAAAAAAAACCAAAGTCCTAAAAAAAGATATTTAAAAATTCATCAGTATTTAAACAAAAGAAATCGGAAATAATTTCTCAAAAAATTTTTAAGAAATCCTGTATCTGTCCATTAAAAAAATGTTCATAAAAATCCATTTTCTTATTATCGGTAAAATATATTTATAAACTAGTGAGCGGAGCTGTAGTCGGACGGGGCCGACCATATGATACCCTACACAACTACCACGAAAATCTAACTTTCGGCGGTTCTATATTCCCAGCCTGGGCAATATTTCGCGATATTTGCACTCTCTTGACCGAGTGCAAATACAGTACCTCTAATTACTTGTCCAGATTCCCTTCACCGTGGGTTGTATTGTGATGTTCGGCTTTCAACTGTGGCCTATAGATCAACTAAAAAAAACACATAAAATTATGTTTTCGGTCCACCTTATCCAAATATTATTAACTGATCATCAACGAATATTATAGGCGTTGTACTTGACCATACCTGGATCCTGATGGAAAATTTCTAAGCTATCAGGTTACTAAATAATATCTGAGCACCTGTAAATATTTAAGTGTAACTCCCACATCCGAGTACATACGACAATAAAATTGGTATCAATTTAAAGGTCAACCACTTCTCTTGGATTCACTATCAACATCTCGGTTTCATGTCCTTCAGGATTAAGTATATACGCCATAGAATACAAATGTATACCCTCACAATGAGATGGAGATTTCATATAAAAATATGTGGTTTATCCATTAGGGTCCTAAGGTCCAAATGACAGCCACTTTGTAATTCTAAAATATAGTCACATCGGTTGGGAAGATAACGACCGATATTTATATATTTTGTTAGGAAGATTTGACACTCAATGATATCTAAAAATATCAAATTAGTGCCAACTCGGTCTTAAATCATATCTGAAATTCTCACAGAATTGAAAACTATGGAGTATTATTATAAGAGGACTATACAAGACCGTTGACCGATATTGGCTTTAATAAGATAGATTTAGCACCTAATAAGAACCGAAAATATATTATTACGGTCAAATCGGTGGAGCAACGTTTCGGAAACCCATAAAAAAACAGATATTGGGATACCGTTATATAAAGGCTATATCAAATTAGAGCCAATTCTATCGTAAAACGTGGCCAGGAGAATACTTAGGTCAATATTAAAACTTTAGAGTGGGAAGATGTCCTCTTTATTGATACTCCATAATATAAAATTACAGCGAATGTGATTGAACTTCCAAAAATTCCGACATATGGGGATACCGTTATATAGATAGATATATAAATATCCAATTTAAATTGTCCAATGTCCAGAAAAACAAATGTTTTGAAACAAATAGCCGTTTCATAAATTCAGAAACTCCCGTCTATCAGGGGTAAATATTAATGCAAATTAAGAATTTTTTTAATGCAAAGCAATGCTGTCGTCTGTCTAGGTTTTAAGATGCAATGAATCTGAACGTTTATATTGCATTGCAATTTGAAATAACTCAGAAATTGGGTCTATTCTCTAAAAACGAAATCATTCCATAAAATTTTGTAGTGTAACAAAATTCCTACTTGTTGTCCGAAAATGTGACCAAAACATACCAGCTGCATAACTACATTAATTTTCAAGATATATTAATACGAACTATAAAAAATCTAATCTGGAATAGAGTTTTTAACACTAGAAAGCCGAAGGCAGTCATTTTGACCGCTTTACAATTTCAAGTAAAAAAGCAACTGTGCATTTAATGACACTTTTTTTTTAATTTGGTGACTTTTTGTATCTCATAGAATTACGTTTATTATAAACAAATCACCAAATTTAAAATAAAAGTGTCATTAAATGTACAGTTGCTTTTGTACTTGAAATTGGAAAGCGGTCAAAATGACCGCCTTCGGCTTTCTAGTGTTAATATATTACAAGATTGTTGGTCGAATATGTAATAAGATAACATTTGAAGCAAATTTAACTATTTTCAATAACTTCACAAAAATATTTGTGAAATGGTAAACAATTATTTCGAGAATATTCTGAACACATATCAATTTACCTTCCAACTATTTCAATTAATAAAATCAATCAATTATTTCCATATGATCCAAAACACCAAACTAAAAATCAAAAGACTTAAGACACAAACCTAATTTATGCTATTCACTCGATCCAAGAAACCACACCAATCATTCACTTTGTCCATCAGCGACCATGACAGGGTGATATCTACATATGTATGTGTTTCATCATATGTCAAGGCTTATGACTTCAAACAAAAATCATTTTCACATACAAATTGGAAACTTGAACCAGACCTCAAAACTCAGAAAAGGGAAATTTGAGCCAAACCAAAGATTTCGCGAGACGAACTTCATAGTACATACAATGTATTTTTGTTGGGTGTGAAGAGAATCTAAAAAAAGAATGTTAAGGCCTCCAAAAAGCCACAGATCGCAAAACAAAGAAATAGAAAAATCATATGTGTAATTTAAGCTGCTTGGTTTGCAACTAAAACATAAACTCCCACGAATCTTTGTGAATATTATTTTATGGTAGCTATATAGGAAAATGGTAATAATTGGTTAATAAATTGCATTTATAATGCAAAGTAATAAAACATAGATTGCACAAATGGAAAGAAAAAATAAAAATATGAAATAATATTTTTTTGCTGTTGTTGGTTAGTAATGAAAGAGCGGTAGCAGCATAAAGAAAAGAAAAAAATCGGTATTACTTCATCTCTTTTAATGGCCAGTGGCAAGCAATACAAAACCCACAGTGAACCACTGACCCAATATTGAGTTTGGAGAAGAGATATGTATGTAATAATGAAAAGTTAAGCATAGCTAAATTATAGATATTTTCTTGGTTACACCATGTAATAATTTTCAATTCCATATTAGTCTCTCCTTTGGTAATATTTTCAATTTTTTTCTTGATTTCTTTTTTTCACTCTTAAGCAATGCTAATAAACCATTGAAAGCCGTCATTATGTCTAAGCATTTGTGTAATGGGTTTTTGTTTTGATTTTCATTTTTTTTTCTTGGCAATTGACTTTTAATTTATGTCCACACAGCTATCCAGCCAGCCAGCTAGCTTGCTCGTTGGTTGGTTGACTTGGCATGTGGTTTGCTTTGCTCGCTAGCCAGCCACAATATCTGTCATATCATTATCAACATGTTAACGTTGCTATCTTAATTATTGAAATAATATCGATGAGTTTTTGTCATTCGTTTTAGATCATTGCAACAGCCCTGCTGGTGGCCACCTGCTCTGCCTCATATCATGGCGCCGTTTCAACACAATATGCCAGCTTGGATCCCCACAGTCATTCGTATTCGTACGGTTATGCCGATCCAAATTCGCAAAAACACGAAACACGTTCACATGATGGCGTGACGCATGGTTCGTATTCGTATGTGGATGGTCATGGTCATGTCCAATCGGTCCATTATACCGCTGATCCTCATACTGGTTTCCATGCCACCGGTACCAATTTGCCCAAGGGTCCAGCTCCAGCACCCGCCTTGGCCCATGCCGCTGCCTATGATGGTGGTCACTATGCTGCCGGACATGCCTATCATGGACCCTTGGCCCACATCACATTGACTCATGAAGGTGTACCCCATGATACCCCCGAAGTTGCCCATGCCAAGGCTGCCCATGCTGCTGCTTATGCCGCTGCCGCCGCAGCTGCTGCCCACAGTGGTGATGGTGGTCATCATTTGTACAAACGTTCATTGTGGGGAGGTCATGCCGGTTATGCCCACGTTGCTGCTCCCGTTGTCCTCACACATGGTGGTGTTCCCGTAGATACTCCCGATGTACAAGCCGCCAAAGCTGCCCACTATGCCGCTCATGCCAAAGCCTTGGGTGCTGCTGGTCATGGTCATGGTGCTCCCTT